TCCCTACTCCCTTAAACAGAAATAGTCATCCCATGATTACTAGATCCAAAACAAATGATCTTAAAACTATTCCTTCTGCCTTAATCTCTCAAGTTGAACCTAAGAACGCTAAAGAGGCTCTTAAGGATTTAAATTGGCTGACTGGCTATGCAAGAAGAATATAATGCATTAATTAAAAATGAAACCTGGTCTCTTGTACCTTTACCCCCCAACAGAGAAGCTATTGGCTGTAAGTGGGTTTTTTGGATTAAAGAAAATCCAAATAGAACTATTAACAGGTACAAAGCCAGACTAGTGGCTAAAGGTTTTCACCAACAACCTGGTTGTGATTACACAGAAACCTTCTTCCCTGTTATTAAGCCTGTCACTGTCAGAACTGTTCTTACTTTAGCACTAACTTCAAACTGGTCTGTTCAGCAGCTTGACATTAATAATGCTTTTCTAAATGGGCAACTTCATGAGGATATCTACATGCAGCAACCTCAAGGGTTTGAAGATACTGACAAATCTCTTGTGTGCAAATTGCACGAGGCTCTCTATGGCTTAAAACAGGCTCCTCGAGCTTGGTTTGAAAATGTCAAAACCACTCTTATACAGAAAGTATTCACAGCCAGTTAGTGTGATCCTTCTCTGTGTTATCTACAAGCATAATTCTATTGTTATCTATCTCCTTGTGTATGTAGATGACATTATTCTCTCTGGAAGTTCTCAGAAATTACTTCAGCATCTAACCTTGCAACTTAATGATGTGTTTGCTTTAAAACAACTTGGTGATCTTGAATATTTTTTAGGCATTGAAGTTCAGAGTCTGAAAAATGGTTCAATGCTTCTTACTCAAAAAAAAAATATATTCAAGATTTATTGGAAAAAGCTAAGATGGCTGAAGCAAAAGGCATTTCATCTCCTATGGTTGGTGGTCTCAAGCTCTCCAAACAAGGTTCAGATTATTTTGCGGATCCAACTCTATATAGATCAGTGGTTGGCTCTCTTCAATATGCTACACTCACTCATCCAGAAATTTCCTTCTCTGTTAATAAAGTTTGTCAGTTCATGTCAGCACCCTTGGAGAATCATTGGGTTGCTGTTAAACAAATTTTAAGGTGTTTCAAGGGTGCAGCCAACCGTGGTATTCTTCTGCAACCAGCAAAGTCTTTACATCATCTCCAACTTTCTGCCTTCTCTGATGCTGACTGGGCCTCGGATCCAGATAACAGAAGGTCTACATCTGGTTCATGCATTTTCCTAGGCCCAAATTTGATATCTTGGTGGTCAAAGAAGCAAACCATTGTAACTTGTTCCACCACAGAAGCAGAGTACAGAAGTCTAGCAGCTACTGCTGCTGAAACCCTATGGATACAATCCCTTCTACAAAAGTTACATGCTCATACAAAACCCCCTGTAATCTACTGTGATAATCTAAGCACAGTTGCTCTATCTCACAATCCTATTCTACATGCAAGAACCAAGCACATGGAGTTAGATATCTTCTTTCTTAGGGAAAAGGTCATCAATAACAGTCTTAAAGTTCTACACATACCCTCTGATGACCAATGTGCAGATATTCTAACTAAAGCTCTATCTCCTACAATGTTTAAATACCTTTGAAACAAGCTGAAGCTGTTCGTCAATCCTGTTCAGTCACCTTCAGCTTGAGGGGGGAATGTTAGAATAGAATATCTGATTGTAATGGAACATCTGTTTGTACTCTTTGTAGATTGCTTATCTTGTGTAGGCCCAGGCCCATTGTCTATTATATTCTTTTCTGTTTTCCTTTTCTGTTAGAGTTCAGTTATGTCTGAACTGTTTTTTCTTTTTCTGTTGCCTATATATAATAGGCTTCATGTACAACTCTAATATAATACAGAAATATATTCAAGTTCATATCTGAATTCTCTCTCTTTATTTCTAGAATTCTAATATGAACCACTAAGAGATGAGATGAGGCTCTAAGATTATACAAGATATTGTAGATCTCCTGTATTCTGGATTAATGGTGGATTTGTACTTGAATTGTATTCTGGATTGAAGTTGAATTTGTACTTGAATTGTATTCTTGATTGAAGTTGGATTTGTACTTGAATTGAACAGAATTTTTTAGGCTTTTCTATCATGTTAGGATTCAGGAACCAAATGGAAAATAAAGGAAACTGACCAAAAATTAAAGAGGAAAGTTGAGGAAAAGAGATTTTATGAACCACACTGAAACTGAAATATGTATTCTGTGATAGATAATCTCAACAGAGATCGGTTACAACTTTATATGTGTTATAACTCTGTCAACTGTGAGTTCTAGCAGAATGTAACAATATTTGACGTGCTCTCTTTAGAGAAACTAGCATTTTTTTTAATCTACATTTGTTTTTATTTTCTTCCGTTATTTTTTTTAAGTTTTCACTGTCCTTTTTAAGTTTCTTCACTTTAGTAAACTTCTTCCATCATTTTATTGGACGGTATAATTTATTATAATATGTTATTTGTTTATTTTTTTCAGCAAAAACTGGCTAAAAGAGAAGTGGGAAACATAGATAGAAGTCAAGATGTAGCTCGGTTACAAGAGTTCTACAAGAGTTATAGAGAGAAGAATAATGTGGATAAATTACGTGAGGAAGAAATGAAGTTGAGGGAATCTGGTGCTTTCAGCCGGGATCTTGGCGAGTATGTATTTTGACTTAGAAAATGGCTTAACACTCATTTGGATTATCCTGTGCTTCCTCTTCCTCCTTGTTAGGGCACTACCTGCCTCAAAATGAGTTATAGATTGTGGCTGTGTTCGTTTTTTCTTTTTGGTGCTATTGCATTTTCTGTGTTGATTGTTTGTGTTGGATTTGACCCGCCTAATGGGATAAAACTTGATTGATATTATTTGCAATAGAATTTATGAAGTTTGATAATTTTGGTTTTGTGTTGTTTTGGTGGTGCACACCTGCAACAGATCTTACAGTGCAGTATCTTTTATGTAATTTGCACCATGTTTGGACTGCTTGATATCCTTGGCTTCAAAACATGTCATTCTTGTAAAGAACTCTTATAATGATGTCATTAGCATAGATGCATACAATTCAATTTGAGCAGCTGATGATATGAATTGTTGAGGGAATTCTTTTGGTGCTTGCATCACATCATGAATCACAGTGATCACTTGCTGGAGATGAATCGTGCCATTCTTGCTGATTGTGCATCAAACTGGGGCACTCATCCATGACCAGTTCTGAAAATCCCTAAAATTTGTTTTTCCCCTAAAAAATTAGTTAAAAAGTGAGGGAATTAGCTGGTTGTTCCCCTCTAATCAAATCTGGGTAGCCCATTGTTTCCTTTTTGAGTTTTCAAAATCTTTCTTGTCTACTTTCTACTCTTTGACCCTCGTCATCTCAACATTCATACCCTTCTTTAATTTGTTGCATTGGGTATAGTAGCAACTTCTTTTTGTGAAAGCAAAAAAGACTTTTCCAACTGGTGTGTAGAATGAGAATCATGTATTTCAGAAAATGGTCTTCTATATATATATATATATATATATTTTTTTTTTATAAATATTAATGTGGTTAGGTGCATGTCATTATATTTTTTCTTTACAGGTAAAACTCTTTAATTGATTCCTCCTAAATCTACAGAATTTCAAAATTATTTCTGACATTTTGGGTCCATCAAACATTCACAATTTCAGTGTCTTTTTGCTGATGTAAATATTGGCCACTTTTGATATATCAATTAGCCAATTTTTTATCAATATATATATATATATATATATATATTGTACATTGTATGTGTTCCATAATTTTAATTTGGCTTATAAATATTTTGAAAATGCTCTTAGATTAATGATTTTTAGTTATTGATCATGTCTTTGTGTTGCATATGCTATATTTTGTTATTTGTCACGAATCTTACTATTCACATTACAGATAATAGACCTTCCAATTCACAATTTGAATGTAAATTCAACTGCCATGATATAATCAGGAATTCAAAATGTTATGGTAGTCACTAGTCAACAATTTATGTATTTTTTTGCTGTCTTCAGCTGCACTTCCTTATTTTGAAACTGGAACAATCAAAACTTTTGTTCAGTTATCCACAATAGTTATCGGCTATTCCACCTTTATTATATTCTTTTTCTTTTTGTGAAAATTTCACTATTCACTATTTACCCAAAATAATAGCTCATTACAAATTTTAATGATCTGCTATCTGTCTTGGATTTTAATTTATACCTGCTACATGATTTATGTTGATTATGCTTATTCCTGCCCTCATCAAGTGTTTTCTTCTGAATGCAGGTTGGAGCGCAAGACTGTGAAGAGGAAAAGGGTTTTTGCTACCTTAAAGGTTTTGGGGACAGTACTTGAGCAGCTGAGTGAAGAAATTCCTGATGAGGTTGGTTCTTGACTTCTTGGCGCTCCTTGCAATATAAAATATTAACAGTTCCTTGCATTGTTATTGTTGTGAAATATTTGTTATTAGGGAGCTTTGTTGTCTATTCTGCAAATGGGTTGCTTTGCAATTTTGAGAGGGTTTTCCTTTTTCAACACTTTTGTTCCTTTGCAGTATTTCACTTTTTTTAAGTAAGTGTAAATAATAGTAAAATGTTTGGGACAGATCCTTTCGGGGAACTTCCGATAACTTTCTAAAAGAGGCGGTGACTCTTTTATGGACTTGTTATTTACATTAGTTTCTACTAGAATTGATGATCTTTCCTCCTCCCTCTAAATTGTGTTGTTTTTCTTTTAATTTCTTTTCTTTTCTTTCTTTCTTTCTTGCTGTTACTTGTTACTGTTTTCTTGATTGTGTATGATCTCTTGAATGCCAGATATATTGCTGTACCACAGAAGATGACAAGTTTTTACTGTTATCAAACTGGGATTCTGTTGGGGGTGGTGGTTTTTGCGGTTTTACCGGTGGGATTGGGCATATATGATGAAACCATTAATTATCCATTATATTTTCCAGTTGAAATTATTCTTGCACCAATGAATATTTTTAATTACATTAGGATAACATAAGCATGTAAAACATTGCAATAGTGATGAGTCTTCTATTATTCCACGGTTAAAGAATTTTGGAAGGAAACCAAGTTGCTTTATGTAGGAAGCCAATGTTTGCTGTGCTGGTATATTTTTTTTCATATATCTTATTTTGATATTTGTTTCGTGCAGAGTGCTAGAATTTGTTGCAATTAGTATTGCTGATATAGTTCCATTTGGATTTTTTTCCTCTTGCTTTTTTTCTGGATGTAACTAGCTTCATAAGGAATGAAGTAGAATGGTTTTTAAGTTAAAATGATTGTGCATTTGAGTTGGAGCTTGGAAGCAATAAGCATGCTTTGTTTATTACTTTGTCATTTTTTGTGCAATCAGAAAGGAATAATTTCTGAACTTTTCAGCATCTATTTGTCTGTTGTTTTTTTTTTTCAGTTGAAGCAGGTCATGGACTCAGATTCTGCATATACAGAGGATTTGATTGCATACAACATCATCCCCTTAGATGCTTCTTCTTCAACAAATGCTATTGTTTCTTTCCCCGAGGTTTGAGTTACTTTTTTAAGATCATAGATTTTTGCATATTCATGTATGTTGGAGAAAATGTCTTTGTGCATCAATTTCTTTTTTATATTTTTTCATCTCTAATAATGTCTACTTGTTAAATAAAAAAAATGGTTGTTAGGTTCAAGCAGCTGTTTCAGCTTTGAAGTATTTCAGTGGCTTGCCAGAGTTGCCTAGGGGCTATTTCATTCCTCCTACAAGGAATGCTAACATGTTCGATTTTTTGCAGTGTACTTTTGGATTTCAGGTCTGTATACAGGGGTTTCCATGTGTTGCCAAGTCAAATTTGGTGTGATTCTTTCAATTGTACAGAATTTGTTTTCGGGTTCTTGAACCAAATTTTCTGTATCTCTGTTATGCAGTGAAACTAAATTGTGATATTTATTAGAATATGTTAGTGATGGTGGGCTAATCTTAGTATAGGCTGAGCATCTGTATATATGACACTTTTACAGGACTTTTATAGCCTCGTACATTTAGGGAGGCTTAACATCAAGTTATTGCATCCCATATTTCATTTTCTTTTATCTATTCTGTTTCAATTACAAATGATTAATTTACAAGTTTGTTTTGTTGTCGTAAATTTTTAATTCATTTTTGGAAATTGCATTTTCCTCCCTTTTCTTTTTTTATTTTAAGTTGAATGTCTGTCCTATATTATTTTAATTCCTTTCTGTGATTACTGACTCTTGGGGAGGGGGGTGGGGTGTTAAGAGAACTCACCTGATTGACTTAACTGAGATATGGCTGAATGAGGCAAGTGCAACAGCTATTGTTCTCAGTATCACTCAAGTCTCTACTTAATTGAAAGTCCCTGTTTCAGTATTCACCTTGAATACAATACTGTTTTTAAATAGTCAAATTTATGCAAAGTAGAGAGGAGATAATACACACAATAAAATGTAGAAAGGAACATTTCCCACGCAAACACCCTCCAAAAGATGATGCATGTATAACAACCAAAAGAAACTGTTGTTAAATAAAAAATCTCTTTGAAATAAACTTGTTGATAAGAATGGGTTGTAGAGATTGCTGGATTGGCATCCCACCCATTTTGATACCATATATACTCTAAATTTAAACTAATTGGTGCCACTTTGAATTGTGAATTAATGAATTTATTCATGCTGTGAAAACTCATAATTTGACTGTAATTTTTCGTAATTTGCCTTTCTGATTTTTATTCTTTCTCTTAACTGTATTAGGTAAATAATTTTATTTTATTATATTTTTGATCATTTTGTGGTTGAAGTTGTTTTATGCATTGGTATTCTTGCCAAGTCAATTTTTTTTGTTGCTTATAATAATAACTTGTGGCTTCCAGAAAGATAATGTAGCTAATCAACATGAACACATAATTCACCTGCTTGCAAATGAGCAATCCCGACTTGGAATTCCAGATCTAGCAGAACCTGTAAGTCTTTCTTTTGTTTTTGTTTTTTTTTATTTTATTATTTTGAGGATTGTTTGTTCTGGGCTATTGGCTGTGAAGTTTTGTAGCCTATAGTAACATAATTATTTTCTTGTTGAATGCTTTGTTTGCATATTTTATACGATTGATTGAGTGAAATGAAGTTGATATTTTGTATTCTGAGTTCTGAAAATGTGGGCTACAAGCTTTGGGAAGTTTTTTTGTGCTGTTGGCTCAAGCAAGTATTTGATCATTTATTGATTGTGAGGAGAATGATGCTAAAAAAGTCATTTTGATATTTTGATGTTGCTGAGCTTACCGGTGTGTGTATTATAGGGTGTCATTGTTTTGTGCATGTGTGCATGAGGATGTCTGGAATGAGGAGAACGATGCTAAAAAAATCATTTTGATATTTCGATGGGGTGTTATCATTTTGTGCATGTATGCGTGAGCACGGACATGGCTTAGTTAAGTTTTCCAATTCTCTGTCACTTTTAAAAGGTTCTGTCAGATAACAAATGTCAGGATGAAGTATCCCATTGACCCATCCAAAGCTATGTACAGCATACACTATTACCTGGTGACTGTGCTCTCTGATGGAAATTATGCCATCCTCTACTTCCATTGTGAAAGCCTCTAAAGTGAATAAAGAGCTTTATAATTAGAAGATATTTCTAAACTCATTCTATTCTTAAGAAGGTTGTCTGTTATGGAAATGTTTGAATAAATGGGCACGTGTTTTTAAGTAATTCAATCTACACTGAATTCTTTGTATATCTATGGATGAGTTCTGCTTACTAATTGAAAGACTTGATCATTAGACTTCCAAATGGTTACACTAAGGGGAAATTTCTGATTAAATAAATTGATAAGGAAAATTGTAACATTACTCACAAGATATGCACCATACGGATTAACAATCCTGCTTGATCATCTTTCCTATTATTTTTCTTTTACATATTTGTCACCCTGATTTTGACATCATTTTTGTTTGTCTCTTTTTTCTTACTCATGTTATGTATATGTTGATTTGTTTCCAGAAATTGGATGAAACTGCTGTGCAGGCAATATTCCTCAAGTCCCTTGAGAATTACATAAAATGGTGCAACTATTTATGCATTCAGCCTGTTTGGAGCAGGTATTAATACTATCCTTGTTTTGTTTGAGAACTAATTGAGATTTACTGGTCTATGATTTCTAAGATTGAATGATGGTTAATGGTTCTTGTGCAGTATGCAGGCTGTTACTAAGGAGAAGAAATTACTATTTGTTTCTTTGTACTTCCTGATATGGGGTGAAGCCTCAAATATCAGGTTTCTACCAGAATGCTTGTGCTACATATTTCATCACGTAAGTTAACTAAACAAGACCGAGTCAGTTATTTTATTTATTTATTTGGATTTACTGAAATTGGTTGCTGTAACTTGTAACTTTGCCATCTAATAGGATTTATTTTTCTTTTTTATTAACCTAAAATCTTCATTTAAAGTTTCAGTGGAAAGAAGATTTCAAGAGTCCCTTGGTAGTTATGTTTTTTATAAAACACCAGTACCAGTTGATAAAATAATAAAATACATTATTAAGATTGAAATTACGTACAATACAGCAATTCACTTGCTGTCCCGGACACATAAGTTTCCTCCAGATTATTCTGTTTGCAAACTTCAAATAACTTCACTTTCCTATTTACTCTACCTTGTATCAGATATATACTTCTAATACATAGCTACAAGCAGTTACTTGCTATCAGATACGTACACCTAAATCCTAACACATAACTGCCAGCAGTTATTCCCAAGGCTGAACGCAAGAAATGTGTTCTTCCTCGTTATCTTTATCCACTTCAATAGCAATTGCTTCTGCATCTTCATTTAGGGCTTCATTATCTCCCAAAAGTACCAACCTTAATGTAAGGGACGGAAGTTTTCTCTGCACCTAGCTCTCAACTCCTTATTTCTCTGCACCTAACACAACCCCCATATTTCTTCTCTCCATCACTTCTTGATATGTTAAATGTTGCAGGCCTCTATTTTTTGTTGCAGAAGACCTTCACTTGTTTTTCTTCCTGTAGACACTGTAGAAAAGAACCCATTATGGTTTGCTAAAGAGTTAACCAACCTGCCCATTGGGATAAATTTTGAGTTGCATAATACTAAATGACTTTCTGCTTGTGATCCATTCTGAGGTCATCTTCATTAAAGACAGGTAGTTCTACCTTTTCAATAGCCATTCAATATTCATCCACAGAATGATGGAAGTCTGAATTAGATCCTTTTGCAGCAGCAGCCCTTTCTTCGCAATGATTCAAACTTCCATCTGCCTCATCTACACACTTACCCATAATTTTCCTTATTTCTGCAAGAAAAAAAAATGTTTCAGAATTTTCCTCCAATATAGCCATTTTTTCACCCAAATTTTCTACTATTCAGATTTCGTCTACTTTTTGCTCCAATGCATCCATGTGATCAGACACTCTTTCCGTTGCAGAATTATTTGTGCCAGTCTCGAGCAGTATTCCTCTGGATCCAGCATGTTGAACCAAAATGATAGAACACCAACTGATAAAGTAATAAAATGTAATATCAAGTTCCGAAATTGCACACAATACAACAATACACAAAAGTCTTCTACAAAGAATTTTCTCTGTCCACAAACTGCAAATAATTTCATCTTCCTAATTTAACAATCTACTATCAGATATATACTCCTAATATATAACTACGACTATTATTTTCTATGCATAGCTGTCTTCACACTGTTCTATTGCAGATTTGCTCTACTATTCTAAATTTCCAGCAGTTTCAATAAATTGCTCTGCTGTAAATTGGGGGCTACGGGTGTTGGAACATTTTAATAACTTAAGTGCTATTAGATTCTGTTGAAATTATAGGGTTTAAGTTAAATACGATAGAATAATAGAACAGAGATTCCAAATAATACCATGTCACAGTTTGTTATTTCAGGTTTTTTAAGAAAACAGGATTTTCTTAGAAGATTTGTTTAACAAATTTTATAATAATTATGCATGTGTAAGACTGTGTTCCTGAAATAAGTAAAATCCTAAAAGGGAAAAAGATTGTTTTATTGCTTTCACAGATACTAAAAAAAGTAGCTTCTGAAAGTACACCAAAAAAAGCTGCATCACATATTCATTTTTTTTTATTTTAAAAACCGACAGGGAAAAATTTGATAGTGTACCATGATGTGATACAAAATACTAACTCAATAGTCCTATCCAATGTTTTAAAAAATGGTTTTCAACCCCAATTTCAATCACAATGTCAAGGTTTTTGGAGTGTCTGCAACTGCATTGCAAATTCAATTGTGGCCCATTTGTCCACAATTTCTGCAATATCAAGGATTGCAACAAAACTGCAGTCATGGCTGCAATTTAAAACCTTGGCCCTTTGTACATTTGTAATCTCAAAAATCCTAATTAAGGAAGTTGATAACATGATACATAAATTTTTGATGAATTTTGAGGTTTTCTAACAGATAAAATTTCAATAGATGAGTTTTCTAGCTGGATAATATTCTTAATACAAGGTAACACAATTTTCTCTGAAGGAACACAAGTCATCCTAATCTTGTGTTCTCTAAATTATTTTGTATATATTTTAACAGATGCATATGTATTCAGTGAATATATTGCTCACTATTGTTTTTTCTAGTTATTTGGTATACTGCAATACTTTTTTGTTCTTTTTCATGCCTGAATTTTTAATTTGTCTTTCATTTGCATCTTCCCCTTCAAAATTCTTTATGATTTGTGTTATGAATATGATATGCAGATGGCTAGAGAGATGGATGAGATCTTAAGGCAGCAGATTGCACAGCCAGCTAATAGTTGCACTTATGATTCTAAGGATGGTGTCTCATTTCTTGATAATGTTATCTTTCCTCTCTATGATATTGTTTCTGCAGTAAGTTCCACATGTGTTTTATGAATATTTTATTAAACTTTATTTCATAGAAAGGTGAAATAAGCTCATATATCAAAAGTAGATGATGATCACAATCTTAGGTTGTGGGTTGTGGGTTGTGTTCATGAGACAAACATATTCTGTCTTATTGGATGGTGTCTCATGAGAAAATCTTACTTTTTTAAAGAAAAATAACAACTCCAAGAAATGAATATACAAATTTGAAATAAATGACGAGTCTTGGAGTGTGATTGGATTGTGTGTTCCCTGTTTTCCTGTTGATATGAGAAAACGGGCTTGAAATCGTATTTGATTGGGTAATGAGTTTCTGGAGAACATTACACAGGAAACAAAAGTTAAAAATGCCAGCAATTTTTTATCTATACTTATTATAAAGGGGATATATTTTGGTAACCACCCCTTTAGTTTCCACTTTTTAGTGGACCATTATACCCCTTAAAATGTAAAAGAAAAAAAAAAGAAAACTTCTTTTGTTCTTTCTAAATAACTATCCGCAACTTTTAATATTTATCTGTGTGTAATTATTAGAGGCACGAAGTGCCTCGGCCCCTCTAGTTTAAGATAAAGAAGGTATGAAAACCTTAGAAGCAAATTAATGTTTTTTATTCTTTTGCTCTTGAACCATCCCCCACTGCCTGCCAGAAAATGTTCTTTAAGAAGGAATAAATACACATAAAATCATTGTGTTATGTAGTGAAATCTTTCTGTTTGTCTGACAAAATAAGTTGATTATTTTCAACTCATTGATTTGCAAAAAACATTACCATGGCAGTGCTGTTCTGCAATGAAATATGTGAATATGCATGGCCAATTATTTTGGTCATTTGATTAGAAATCATGAAAATATCCTGTTATTTTTACCTTTATTTTTTACCAAATACTCATTTTTCCAAAGATACACTGTAAAACAAATTAGTTCCATAAAAATTTTGTACTTCAATTTGGATTCTCAATGATTAAAATTGACATAAATTTAGCCTTGCAATGTATATTTTGACATCAATTTTGTCCTTTTTTTAATGATTATTTTATACTATGGTGGATCAATTTGATGTCCTGTATATCTTTTGGACTGGTTTGAGCCTTTACTCTCTTTCTCTCTCTTGGGTTTCTGTTCAGTGATTTTTATGAATTTACCTCTGCAGTTCATGTTGTTTAAAAGCTTAAATGCATTTATTTGTGACTTGAGTTTTTATCTTTATTCTTTTGGTTTAAAAATATGGATTCATCATGTATTTTCATGGACTATTAGGAAGCAGCAAACAATGATAATGGGAAAGCACCTCATTCCTCCTGGAGAAATTATGACGATTTTAATGAGTATTTCTGGTAAGGTTTCTTTGATGACCCGTTTTTTGATTATTTCAGTTGATTTTTTTTTTTTTTTTTTTTTTTTTTTTTTTTTTTTTTTTTTTTTTTAATTTTGTTGACTGACTCTCCCACCTTAAGGTCACTCCATTGCTTTGAGCTTGGTTGGCCATGGCGCAAAACTTCTTCATTTTTCCAAAAGCCACTACCCAGATCAAAGGTTTGTTTTGTTTACAATTATGTTAGACTTCCTTCTAATTGCATTAATCATGCAATGTAGTGTCATTCAATTGCATTCATGTATTGAGTGCATCTCACTGCTGTATTAAGAGTAAAATTGATGCCTTCTCTCATTCTTATTTTTTAATGGATGGCTGCTAGTGGGGCACAGTATTGTACTGTTCCCTAGATACAAGGGAAGTGTGGAAGGTCTGTGATATCAAATTTGATGCGCATTGCACAATAGCTATGGATATTTCTAATGATTCAGTTAAGGTCTTGAAAGAACCGATATTTCATTGTGTGTTGGGAAAACATATATCACCACAAATTAGATTAGATTCACTCCGAAGACAGCTTAAGTTAAATGTGTGACAGCTTGAGTATCCATATATGGTGGAGCTTAATGTCTTATTATTTTGATAAACTGAGTATCTTAATTTGATATATTCTTTGGTTGATGTCCTTAGTTACTCATTTATTCTTTATTGTACAATGCAGAAGATGCTTATATCTGGCAGAAGTAGGCATCGGGGTAAAACATCTTTTGTGGAGCATCGAACTTTTTTTCATCTTTATCATAGCTTCCACCGATTGTGGATATTTCTTTTCATGATGTTTCAGGTTTGTACATGCATTTATTCTTACATAATCATGAACTTTTGGCAAATGCTTTGTGTTCTCATATGCTGTTTTCTTCACTGAAGTTGTTTCACACTTCTAAGTGTTAAAAGAGAGAAATAAAGATCTCATTTTCTGAATATATGCTTGGGTGATAATTCCACCCAGCAGAATGGATTAATTTATATACAAGAGAATTACGAAGATAGTTTTTGTCAAAACAATTTACAAGAGAGAAATTAAGATGCCACTGCTTCCTATGATGCATTAAACCTAGCTATACCAAGTATCTAGGCAATTTGGAAAAATAAACATTATAGGAGTTCTTATTTCCAAAAGCATTCCTATTTCCAACACTAAGTTATGTATTCTTAACTGGCAATTCATGGTTCACATATTACTTTTGTCTCATGAAGGTTTTCTTTTTATTGTCGATTTTCAGGGTCTAACAATCATTGCATTCAATGATGGAAATCTTAATGCCAAGACTTTGCGAGGGGTTCTTAGTCTTGGACCTACATTTGTTGTGATGAAATTTTTTGAAAGTATGTATTTCTGTTATATATATCTTTGGTCATAAATTTGTATTTAGTTTTGTAGGCAGAGTTTCTTCCAAAAATACGAGAACATTTTGGTTTATGTTATATTTTCCTTTCACCATTAAGTTATATTTTCACATTTTCATTTGTTTTAGGTGTTCTGGACATTTTCATGATGTATGGTGCATATTCAACAACAAGAAGCCTAGCTGTCTCACGAATTTTTTTACGATTTGTTTGGTTCAGCCTTGCTTCAGTTTTCATAACTTTCCTCTATGTGTATGTACGCTTTCAATTATAATTACTTTTTCTTATATTTCCACATCCTCATTCTTATCTATATTTATTTTGATTTTTTGTAAATGTGTTAAGTGATTTTACATTTCCAGCTGTTTCATGACTGCAGAAAAGCACTTCAGGAAGAGAGTAAAAGAAATGCAAACTCGGTTGTTTTCAGATTGTATGTGATTGTCATAGGGATTTATGCTGGTGTCCAAATTTTCATTAGTTTCCTTATGCGGATACCGGCATGTCATCGTCTAACAAATCAATGTGATCGTTGGCCTTTAATTCGCTTTGTGAAGTGGCTGCGCCAGGTATATATGTCTTCAGTTGCATTAGTTGTTGGTAATTATAGTAGTTCATTTAATTTTGTTTGTTCAGTATCGTGTGAAATTATGCTGACTGATAGGTTTGCCTTTATTGTCATTTTTTCTGTTGACTGATGAAGGAACGACATTATGTTGGACGGGGAATGTATGAAAGGAGTTCAGATTTCATAAAGTATGTTCTAGATCTTGTAGGAAAAGCAAGATTGTTGCTATCCCACTATTTTAATTTTAGATTGTAGGAACGACATTATATATTGTTTAAAGATTGATGACTTAAAAATTGTGTGTACTCCGTCATTAATTTTATATGCAAGCTGAAGTTGTGCATTGATGCACTGATTAT